CAGAGGAAGGGGAGAGAATGAGAAGAAAAGGCAGCTGTCACTAAAGATCCAGAGCATGTTAAAAACTAAAGAATGTTTTTCAGAAGACAACTAGGGGATAACCAGCTATATGAAGGGGTCTGCAGGACAGTAGTAATATTAATTTGAAGAGAAAAGACAGCCTATAATTAACAATTACATTTTGGACTGTCTTCAAGTCCTGGCTCAGGAATTTTTATTCTCAGATACAAATAGATGAAACATCTTTCAGAAGCAGCAAAGACAAGTGTCTGTTAAAGCTCCACATTTTTTTAGCGCTTATGCCTTGTTTATGTATCTGTTAAGTCTGTAGTGCTGTTCTTCCAGTTTCTTGAAAACAGCAAAAAATTTTCAGCAGAGAAAATTAAGTTAATGTGGAAAACTTTGTAAGATGGTCGAGTTATCTTTCAATGCAAAAATATATGCTTCCCATCTATCAAAAATATGAGAAAAACATTTAAAATTGACCTACAAAGAGCAAGATTTTAAAACAGAACTGACAGATTTTCTTTTCTTCTATTTTTATATTATGAACTAATTTATCTTATAAAGCTAATTAAAAGAGGTGAATTTGAAAGTCAGAGACAGAAAACCCAAACAAATTAATAATAGTTCTAATTTAAAAAATTGGAATATTCAACACCCACAAGACAATCAGTGTCACCCATTCTCTGCCAAAATCAAGAGTATTTGCAATATGTAGTTTCTCTCTGTAACTTTAGCACACACAAAACCAAACTGTTTCACAATTGCATCCTCTTTCTCTGCTTGAGTCTCTCACTGTTCTTTAGATGACTCCAGTTGCTGATGACTAACAGTTCTGAAATAATGATTCAAGAACATGCTTGTGAATCCCCCAGATGATTACGTGGGGAGGGACTGAGAATATGGAGAAAATTGTTCTCAATGTGCATTCGTCTGCATTGTTAATTGGCCCATACTCTGTGCTTTCCTGTCTTTTCTGAGTTATGGATCTTTGTAAATGCCTTAAGTATAAGGAAGCAAACACGTTCTTATGTTCCAACTCGCCCCACTCCAGGCTCTTTTAAGAAAGAGGGGGAAGTAAATGTCAAAGTTGTTGAGGTTTTTTTTTTTTTTAAATGATTTAAAACTTTTCCCATGTCAAGCTCTCAGCAGTTCCACTGAGAGATCATAGACTAGAGCTCTGCTGGAACTAGATGTGCCAGTTTTTGTATGATGCTGTGAAGTTTGGTAGGAGGGACTGCTTTTTAAGTCTCAAATCTTCTTTCCTCTGGTGAACCAGAAACTTGAGCAAGGCACATAAAACTAGTTTCTTCCCCATTTATGGATTAGCACCAATTTTAATGTTTGTTTTGGTGCTGCTTGCACTCCTGTTTTCCTTGAACTCCTCAAATAATTTTTAAGGCACTAAAAATGTTGACCCATTTTAAACTTGTTTTATTTATGACACTCTTATCCAGCCTTCAGAAGAGAAAGCTTCCCACATTTGTAACTGGATAATACTTGAAGAGAAAGAGATGAAGATATCAAATCCAGTAAATAGAGGTACCCACCTAAAAGCTAGGCAGGGATTTCAGTTCTTGGCCCCAGGATGGATACAAAGCCCAGAACCCGGCAAAAAAGCCTACATACACAGTCAAGCCTGGGAAGAACAAGATGTCTCAGGAGAGAACATAAGCAAGAAGCTACTTAGGAATAACCTAAATAAAACATGCAGATACTCTGTGAGTACCTACAAGGGCCTAATAGAAAGAGGAGCTGTGCAGGAAGGTGATTCTCAGTCTGTCAGAACATGCGTGCACACAGAATCCATCTGATCCTGAATGCACAGATTTTTCACACAGGCCCAGGCCCCGCTTAATGCGGATGCTGTAGCCTTGATGTGTTTGAGCTGGACCTGGGTGTGTGCTGAGAGGAGCAGTTTACACTTTCTGTTTTGAGGAAGCAGGTACCTGTTGACTTACCTGTCGACAAGCAAACAAGACGGGGCCTGTGGCCAATCCAAGCTTGAGATCTGCTGCTGTTGGTTTCCCCAGATGGTCGGCACATGATGTAAAATCCAGCACGTCATCTATTAGCTGGGAAAAAAATAAAGATGTAGATTATTTAGAAACTTTCTTTTTAAAAATGAGAACTAAATACAGAATAATACTTGTTAAAGAGAAGATTTGCAGAAAGGATTAAGACAGCCCACTTTGATTTCTAAAGCAGTTTGGAGAATTTCAGACTTTAGATTCCTTTTAGTTCAATAAAAGCACTACCTGAAAAGCTATGCCAACATTTTTTCCATACTGATATGCAATCTCATGAACTTTGGGATCAGGGCAGCCTAGTATTGAAACCTGAAAAGACAAAAAAACCCAAGTAAATAGAAAGCTTTAGTTAGCATCCACTTTTAGTCCCTCACCATAGGTGTGACATAGCCAGCACAGGCAGGAGGGATCTGGGAAAGGGAAAAAAAAAAAAAAAGCTGACTCAGGGGCACATTCTTGCTTATCTCTGTTCATGGAGACACACAATGAACCAAGCTTACTAGAAAACAAGGCTGAAAAGCAGTGTGATATTAAAACTATATTCAAGTCTGGTCTGGAAAGAGATTAGCTTTATTAAATATTTATTATACTTAAAAATTATAATGCAGGGATAAAGAGAAGAGATGTGGATGCACTGCACATGCAGGCTAGTGGTTGTACACAGTCCAGTGACGGGGAAATTAAATTTATTGCATACATAAATCAGCTAGGGGACAATTGGAGGTCAGACAACAGATAAATGGACATTACATGTCTCATGAAAGATCACAAAGCTGGACATGTTGAACCTAGTACAGGGGCAGTTGAGATAAGGAAGATTATTTTTAAGGTGATGTTAACTGTAACTGACTTGCTCAGGAAGATGAGTTAATTAGTTTGCAGGCAAAGGTACTGAGGGATAATTAGTGGCAAAGAAAAGACAGCATACCAAGCTGGCAAAAGTATCACTAAACTGAGACAAATGAAACATTTTAATTGAGTACAGATAAAGAAATCAACTATCTGAGAGACAGAAATAAACTGAATAAACTCCACAAAACTAAAATACAGGACATAAATTAAGGTTTGAGAATTAATATCTTGCCTCAAAGTAAGGCCACTTATGCTTTTGCATTTAAGTTTTGAGTATACACTTCACAAAATCAAGTTGGTTATATTTAAATACTCAGATTTGTTTCATCTTTCAATAAAGCAATTAGGAACAGGGGGCAAAAATCCATCCTGGTTTATTGCAGGCATTCCAAATCTGCTGTGACTAATGGAAGGAGTGAAAATACATTTTATTTAATGTAAGACTAAAAATATATGCTGGGAAAGCCACACAATATAAATATATATATATATATATAAAACCCAAATATATTTATATATAAATTCCTCTTTAAGACTACGTAAAAAAAAAGATCATAAAAAAAACCCCAACCCCCAAACCAACCCCAAATTAGAAGGAAGTCCAGTAGTAGCTTAGAAGGTGAACATGAGGAGGGAAATAAGAAACAACATTATATTCTAATAAATGTGATGGCACAAGATTAGAGATTATTTCATGCATCAGTGCACTTCATAACTGAGCATCAGAACACCTCCCACTCATAACCTGCATCTATGGATAATAACTAAAACCCAGAGGAATCTGGATGCCTAAGGCATTGACAGCATCTCACATTTCCCAATTTTATTTAAAAGAGGAGGACAGTATAGCAGGAAAATAGTACTACTTAGGTCTAATAATCATACAAAATCCTGAAGGGTATTAAACAGAGTGAACTGCAAATATGAGATATTTAAATAGATGTTGCTAGAGACTATCAAACTAGAGTATTTTGCCCTTTTATCCTCCTTTTGGTACTTGTCTCTTAAACAGTGGTATTTGCCCCAGAGATCTAACATATACTGCTGTACCATGCCTAGCAAACTTCTGGTTGCTTCTGGAATATAAATCACATAATATCCGCAAGGCAGGGGGACTGCATCTACCCTGTTTCAATAAAATCTTTACCTACCACCACAATTCATCTCATGTGGAGGAGTAAAATATGGATTTCAGTAGAACAAAATCCTGGTGAATGAATGGCAAAGGATCAGAACGGGCACTTGTTGGCAGAGGCGGAGAAGAAGTGCCATGTAAAGAGAGGAGCTTCCTCATTTAATTTGAAAAGTCAGGAAGAACAGAGCTACTCCTGTTGGTGGACAGTTTTCAAGGGACACAGATATCACCTATACAAAGAATCCCGCCAGTGTATGTACATGCAAAAAACAACTCTTAGACACAGAATATAACACAAGAAATATTCATCAATGCACAATTAACTCTTGCATCTTTGCAAGAGAAGACTGCCATAGCTCCTGTTCAGGTTATGAACATTTCTTGTTCATATACAAAAAGAAAGACAAACAGAAAAACAAAATCCAGGAGATTGATTTGCCAGTCATCCTCAAGTGAGCAACCCTCTAACCATGACCATAAACCTGCAACATGGCTGGGTCATGTCTGTGAGGGAATTCCTTCAGGATGCAATTTCTCAAAATGCTCTTGTAGATTATTGCCCCCACCTGGACACTCACCAGGATGCAGCCAGGCAGCTTGTCAATCCCAGATGAAGTTTAACTGAAGCCATACTGGGATAATAGCATGCATTTACAAATACAAATCAGGGAAACCAAGTCAATGCAATGACATCTTTAAATTATAAAGCTCATCCCTTTAAAACATTCTGTAGCTCCCCTAATAAATATGACTTGATGAAAAATTTAATCTTGTAAGAATTCAGACCTGTCCTCCACTAAATCATGATGAAAAATCCTAATACCAGGTGGAACAAATTCTTTAGAAATGTTCTCTAAATTCAATAAAGCAAGTCAAATCTGCTCGGTATTATTTCAAACACACTTTTTGCAATAAAAAGTTGTTTCTAGTTTGTTATATGAGAGACTGTGAATCAATCTTGCCTCTTTACTGAATTTTACATCTGTAAAATATATAATCAGCTCTGGGTAGACAGGTCCCGCTCTGATATTTAATATGTGACAATATGGCAGCTGGTGTTGAAAGCACTTGCACATTTCTACCGGTGCCCTGCAGGTCACAGAGGAAAACCTGCTGCTGTGCCAGGACATGCTTGTATAAACAGTACAAGAGATGTTTGTTCTTGCACTCCTAGATTTCTGAAAAGGAAAAGGCTCTAAAATCTTCCCCTTTTTGAGACTTTCTCCTCCGTGCCCATCACTAGAAGCAGTCAGGTTCCTGCCTTCTCATTCATGGCTCATCCACTGCTGTTCTTCTAAACAGGAGAGCTGTTCCTTCTTTCCAGTAGAATCACAGAATAGTTTAGGCTGGAGGGGAACCCTGAAAGTTATTTGGTCCAGTTGTCTGCTCAAAGCACTCTACTTCACAGTTAGATCGGGTTTCTCAGGGCTGTGCCCAGTTGACTTCTGAGCAACTCCAAGGATGAAAAATCCCACACTCTGTCTGGGCGACCTGTTGCAGTGTTTGACCAACCTCATGGAGAAATTTTTCCTAAGAGCCAACTGAATTTTTCCATGAACTTGTCCTTTCACTGCACATCTCTCCATCCTCTCTGTGCCCTCCAATTTTCCTTCTCCTTTGCCTTCTCTACTCCAGACTAAAACCAGCTCTTGGCATATCATCTGCTCCAGTCCCTGCCATCACGGTGGCCCTTTGCTGAACTCACTCCACAGTGTCCATGTCTGTCCTGGAAGAGGGAGCCCAGCCCTGTGGTCTCACACATGCTGGACAGAGAACAGTCCCTGCCCTGCATGTGCTGGCCATGCTGGCAGCGATGCACCCACAGTGTGCCTGTCCCTCCCCTCCCTGCTGCGGGCACATCCTTACTTCCTCCAGGATCTTCAAATCCCTTTTCATAACTGCTCCTGCCAAGGGGGTGGTGAGGGCCTCCTGGGAGAGGGAGATGACTACCCAGCAGAAACCCCCACACACTGCAGACAACCATCTTGTCCTGAACCTGCATTTTCATGCATTCAACCTTTTCTCAAGTAACTAACATTTTAACATGCTAACCAAATACCTGTTTATGAAGAATTGTACTTTTACAGAAATGAAGATTATCTGCCTGGATATCTGTGAGACATTTATTCTAATCTTTTTCATAGCAAAAATTATAAAGAAGAAATATCCCCAAAGGACTGACTGTATTTTAAATAATAAGGAAATTTACTGGCTGACTGTAATATCTGATACTACTGATGCTATTACCCCACATCTGTCATTGGCCATTATTGCAGTCTGTGTGCTTAACTGGGCTAGGGGGACCAATTCTGCTGGTGGGGATCAGAGGTCTTATTTTCTTAGACACCAGTTCCACACTTTTGTAGGTTTTCTGATGGAGCCCTGTGCACACACTAAACGATGAACTAGTTACAGCAGGAGCTCACAGGTAGATCCAGAGCTGCAGACTATTTGTTTTCTTCAGTCCCTAAGGCAGACCTTCCACACACAGCCTTGCCTCACACAAGGAGGCTGCATGCTTTCTCCTAATACAGAAATCAAGAATGTCAAGTACAACTTTCCACTTATCTCAAAGCAAGCATGATTTAATCCCTCTTCTGAAAGTATGCTGTGCAAAATATAAACGGCCTTAGGAATTCACATTATAGCAAGGTAAAAAAAGAAAGAGAACCTGCTCAACTTATTTTGCCATCTCCAGCTTGCCTGATGACTAAACAGAAATTCCACTTCAGCTTTATTGTTTCTGAATTCTTGAACCAAAGTCACCTCTCGTGTTTCTTTGAAAAATGCCTTTCAGTAACTAAGGCTTCAATGACCGTCTGGGCCATCTGCCACCATTTCCTTTTGCAATTTATTACTTTGACTGAAACTTTGTAACATTCTGCCATGCAGAAATAAACTGGAGACTGGGATGGCTCTAACATCTTGAACAGACTATTCTGTCTATAAAAAAAGTATTTTGCTAACTTAAAGGACTTTGGATTTAAATGCAGTAATGCTTTGGCAGTGCAGAAGGTATCTAATACAGTGAACTAGACTGGTGTTGACAGACTCTATAATCTTGCTTAGACATTTTTCCAGGAATACTCTACTCTTCCGTCTCTAAGAATGTAGAATGCTAAGATGCCGTGTGAACTTGTTTGACATCTTCTTTCCAGTTAATACTTTTATTTTATTTATGCACAGCAACAAATCAGTTTTTCCCTATCATTAACAGGAACTGAACTGCTTTTAATGGCACACTAGCCTGGTTGTAACTGATGTTCTGAAAACCAATAATCTCTTTCCTTAGCTTTGTCCCTAAAAACAAAATATGAATACTCTTGATTCCCTAACTGAATTTCAAGATAGAACTGATGATCTGGATAATTTTCACTACAGAAAACAGATTTCCATTCTGATTCCATCCATTTCCTTAGTAGTTAAAGTCATCTGAACAAAAATGTGTCAAAACCCAAACACGCCAAAAAACCTCCAAATCTCAAACAAAAAAAAATTCCCTCTTCACTGCTATCAATAGACCTCTCCTAATCCATGCAGAAAGAAAATGAGGGAGACATACATATACAACTCATTACTGCTCTGTGCAGTAAGTATGGTTTTGCCATGAAGACAGTCCTCTCACTCGGCTTTCCTTTATAACACAAATCATACAGCATATAAAATTCCAGCAATTCAGCAATGGAACAACTCAGACCAGCCACTAGAAGAAAAGCAGCCAAACACCACCCCCAGCATTACAGCCTCTATCTTGAGAGAAGTGCTTAAAGCCTTAACTCTTGCAAGTCAGGAAAAGGAAAAAGCTCAAATTAGCACATTTGTAAGGAGAATCCACTCAGTGGGAAGGTGATTTCTTCTAGCTGCAAAGATTATTTTAGAGAGACTGTCAAAGTGAACAGAAAAACATGTATATGTTTTTACTAGGATAGCAGAATAATGTGATGCTCTTTACAAGTCCAGGTGCCCACTGATATAAAAGAAGACTTGCAAAGAAAATTCTTGCCAGGCTCATACTGCCATTAATATGAACAATCCAAAAGATTTAATTTCTTTCCTCCAACTAGAATGAAAGACATTTTCCCTCCCTATAAAATCCATGTCTCTCATTCTGTGTGATCTTTTTGATACAAGCAATTTTCCACTGCTGTCTGTTGCACAAATGTACCAGTTCTCTGAGAACAAAACAAGATGATTAACATTAGCACAGATTTTTAGTCTAATTCTCTTAGAACTCCCTCTTTCTATGGAATACACCAGAATACACCAATCTACTGCCTTTAATTAAAAAAAATAAAACTCTCTTGGGGTAAGATTACTGCCCACCTTCTCCATTTTCTGCACTAAAACTAAACATGTATTTTTGAATAAGAACATAATCTTGAGTTGGATCTTTTTGTAATCAAGTAACAGAACTGAATTACAGATAGAATTGGATATAGCAATTGATAATTAAAACCCACAGACAAATCATGTACATGCTTCTGTTCTTTCACAATATGGTCTACAGTATAAACAATTAATTGTTTCTTCCCACTGTTATCATTTAAGGTCTCACTACCAATGAGTAGGGACAGATGCCAAAGATGACTTAAAATCAAATTATAGGCTCAAGAATGATCAACTGAGATGAAAACTACTGCCTCAAGGTTGGAGAATTTCATAAATTAAAGGCTGCCACTGTGATCCTTATTTTGAGTCAAGTGAGGATAACAATAAATCCGTGTATGAATAAAAAACAGAAAAGAAAAAGTGCAAAACAATATTGGAGGCTACACAGCTGAATTGTGATAATATTCACAGTCTCAAACCCGTTCACATTCCAGCTGAATACCATTTAAAGGGTTTGCTTTGGAGGGTCTCCAGAGAAAACAGCAATAACTGGGAGTTTAACTGTGAAGCTCACAGTATGGTGTGTTAACTTGAGAAGAGACAGACGTACATACTGCTTTACAACTGTTTGCTATAAGACTCGCAGTCTTCTTAAAAGTCTTCTCGAGGTAGTGAGCAAATCTCTCATTCTCGTTTTCCTTGGAACCCAACTGGAGGAATTCACCTAAAAAGATGCACAGATGGGTGGTTTTATTTATGGGTTTACTGCTTAGGCAAGCAAATCTGAAGAATAAATAGAAAAAGACCTTACCACGCACCAGATCTTCAATCACCTGAGTTAGAACAGAGACGATAGTAGTATTTCCAATTCGGGCTAAAGCTACAGAAGCAGCTGAGAGGATGAAGTCACCAGCTAGAACAGCCTAAAAATAAAAAAAAAAAACCAAACAAACTCTTAAGTCTTTTCCAGTGTTAGTAGAGATGATACAATTTCCTTTATTTGGCAGATCTACTCACATCACATAACTTTCCTGCATAAAGCACAAATATCTCATTGTAACAGAAAAACCAGAAGATCACCAAATATTGAAGTGAGAATAATTTTTGAGTCTTATAGTGTTGTTTGTATTTTTCTATATAAACTCTGTCCTCCCTGTATGCAATACCTGAACATGTGTTTGCCTATGAAGTTTTTTTTGAACATTAATTCTCTATTTGACCATTCTGTTGTGACTGCTACACCACGTGAACTCTGAATTGCCGTAAGTTCTGGTGCGTCAGCAGTGTATTTCCTTCCTTGCATTTTCTGATTAAGACCTTCCTTGTAATGTCCTATGAAGAAACACCACTCTCAAAAAAAATTTCCTGCTGACTGAAAACATTTTTGTTTTCACTACTGATCAGACTAATATACAGTGTTCAGGATGAGGTACAAGTTCAAGGTGTTCCAATAGCACTGCAGAGAATGGCATAGGGAATGTAAAATCAGTAAGAATCACAGAATGGGTCAGGCTAGAAGGGACTACACGGTCATCTGGTCCAACCTCCCTGCTCAAGCAGGGTCATCCTAGAGCACATGGCACAGAACTGTGTCCAGACAGTTCCTGAATCTCTCTGGCGAGGGAAACTTCACAACCTCTCTGGGCAACCTGTTCCAGTGCGCAGTCACTGCACGGTAAAGAAGTTCTTCCTCATGTTCAGGTGGAACTTCCTGTGCATGTTTCTGCCCTGTGGCTCTTGTCCCATTGCTTGGCACCACTGAGCAGAGCCTGGCTCCATCCTCTGGACACCCTCCCCTCCGATACTTACAGACACTGATGAGGTCCCCTCTCAGTCATCTCTTCTCGAGGCTGAACAGGCCCAACACTACACACTACAATCACTCACTATCTAATGTTTTCAACAGTTCAGAAAAGGAACACACATTTGTCTCACCCACAAACTGTGTACACCTCTTCATACTTTTTCCAGCATATCCCAAGACCTAGGGATAGTAACTTTACAAAACTCTAGGTGTTTGTACTTTGCTGAAATTCAAAGGCAAGTCTTGCACTTATTAGCAAACTCACCTTCCTCTCTCCCCAGATTTGATTAAGTGTCCTTTTTCCTCTGCGAGAATTTGCATCATCAATAACATCATCATGAACTAGACTGGCTGTGTGGATCATCTCAGCAATTATGGCCACAGAGCGCTGGCTTGCTTGCACCTCCCTAAAATAAAAAACAAGAACTGTCAAACAATTAAATCAGTTACATGTTGTGCAATACACTAAAAGAAATCCCTACTAAAACTAAAAAATGTTTTTCTGAAAACAGCTGTCGCAGCTTTTCTGTGGTCTGAACCCCATTTTCAAACCTGGAATTGGGAAGACAAGAGAAGTTAACATCACATTAATACAGTAAGTGCAATAGGATGTTTCCATCCTTATTAAAAGCCTATTTCTACCTTGCTGCATTAACAGTACTGCAAAACTCCTTCGTTATTGACTCTAATCCCTCTAAATCCAGATTGCAATAAATAGCACAGCATCAAGGACGCTTGGTTTCAAGGAGATGGAAAACAGCAGAGAAAAGAATGCCAGGTACCTTTGTAGATGAGTTTAAAGTTTTCCTTATCTCTGTATTGCTCTGCCTATTAACCAGCATCACAAACTCCAAAGCTAGATAACTCTACTAACCAGCAAGCTGGAGAGATCAGAAGGCACAGAAAACTGTATTCTACATCTGAAAGACATAACTCATGGATCTTATCCTTTATGTTATCTGATTACCTTAAAACCTCAGAGGTTCTTCAAAAGCCTAAGGACTTAACTGGAATTATACTGCAATCACTTTAGGACTGTAAACACCAACTACCTAACACTTGCTGGAATTCAGCCTTTGGGATAATCTAACACTGATGAGTCAACTCTCAGTAGTTCACACCTACTTTATTTTTTAAACTAAGTGAAAAGAAGGTAATGGAACAACATAGAAGCAAATATCTAGGGAACAAGACTGGCAAAATTAGCATAAAAGAGCCTACCTAGCTCTCACCAAGGACCATCTACCCCAGTATCCAACTGCCACTGTCTTGTTCTGTACCATCTTTTTTTCTACCTCTTTTCATCATGGGTTACATGCAGGATCCCAGAAATGGCTATCCCAGCCCGCTTTGTCTCACAGCTGTAACAAGTCCACATGGACACAAAACACCAACAAAAACCCAATAACCAAAAAAATCAACAAAAGAAAAAATTCCTTCTGATATATAGATACCCTACTTCTGGTATACAGACAACACAGAAAATCACACTATTTTCCAGCAGAACAGAAAAAGAACTGAAACAAAAGACAATAATTCCAGCTCAGCTGTAGGGAATTTAAAAACTTCCTGCACTGCCTATGTCTATTAAAATGTAGTGATTAATCACAAAATGGAAGAACATCTTGCAGTGTACTAACATAACACTGCATTCTGACACCTACCTCTACACAGAATTCTGCATTGCTATCAGTAGGAGTTTTACATCCTGAACAATAGCAGGATAAATGCATAGCTCCCAGGCTCTGAAAATGTGGCTTTTACACAACAGAAAATAAGAGCTGGAAACCTCCATGGTGGTTTGAAGGCAAGTTTTACTGTGGAGTAATAATTTAGTCAAATGCTGGTTCAGAGTAAATAGTTTTCCAAAATAAACTATTCTTACTAAGTAGGAGAAAACTTACCTTCAAAAAACTGTAAAGGTCTCCAGCCTCTTTCATGCACTGGTCTCCTTTTGGGGATTCCCTTTTTCATTAATAATGTCAGCAGACTGGACTTCCTGCTGGGAAGCAGCAGTAAATGGCAACACTCAACCGACACACCAAAATCTTTCAGTAGTATGAAGACAGTACAAAACCAGATATTTCAAAAGCAGGTTTTGAAAAGTTCTGCATTTTAGTGCATGTCATCTCTGACAATGACTAAAAATGGCACAGGAATGCTAATGGTTCGTGTGTCTGGTTTCCAGAATGTTATATCAAATGTGATAATTTAATCTGAAAGCTTTTTTTAAACTACTGTTTCCATAATGTCTCAACCAAGATTCTTTCCGTTGCTGGCAAAAAAAATCTGCAATAGTTTCCTACGAGCATCTTGTGAGAGTAATTCTGAATCAGAGCATGCCTATTTTAGGGGAAAACACACAAGAAAGAGGATCCTTCTCATTCCCTGCCATTTTTCATTCAGCTTTGCCTGCAAGACGAAAGCAAAAAGTGGCAGTAACTCAATCAATAGATAACTGGGCCCGCACTTACCCAGTAAGTGGAAAGATGCCATTTTTAGGTCATTCTCAAAGTAAAGACACCCCAAGATGATACGTACTCACACAATTTTTTTGTACAGCTGTAAGTTTATCTTTTTACACATGCAATATATTAAATTTTAAGTCCTTGAGCATGTTCTGTTTTTCAGGAGGACCTCCCCTGCTTGATTCTGTGATAAGGTTCTATAGACTTACAGTACCTTGAGGTGTTTTTCATTACAGGACTTATTTCATGTACACTGAACAAGACCAAGGCTCAACTTATAGGTTAAAAAAAAAATCCAAACACATCTCTCCCTACAAATATCCCTCTTCAAAAAAGACAAAAACCCACACAAACAGTGAGGGAGGAACTCAAAATGATGCAAACCAGTATTCACACTCTGAAACAAAGAGCTTTGCAATGTGTTTGCTAGTAAGTAAATATTTTGCCAGTTTAAAGATAGGAAATTGCAAGAGAACTTGCAAAAGAACTTGCAAAATTTCTGTGTTATAACCACATTTCTCCAAGTACATTTCTGCTGTTAAGCCCCTGTGGCTGAAACAACCATTACAGAAACACAGTCTGTGACATGGAGGGCACTACAAACTAGGAGAAGCACAAATAATGTATGTGTTAGTACGGGAGCAAATTGCACAGCAGCTGAAAACCAGCAGAGTACAGGCTTCTGACAACCACCACCTGGGGGAGTGAAAGAGGACTAAGGTTGCTGGCAGGTCCTCATATCTTTAGGAAATATTATTCTATCGAGTTTAGCCAGGTCATTATATAGAAATGTTTCTCACACTATTCTAATGAATTTACTTCCCTTTTCCCCCCCTATTTTCTCTCTTGAGATGTCTCTGTACTTCTTTGGTCCTTTCTTTTTTGTCTCTCTCATTTTGGTTGCAGAAATAGAAATAAAAACTCTTATTTGCAAACACCTTTGGAGAATACACTCTAAACAGAAACATTAGCTCCTGTCAAGCTAAGTGGTAATTCTGTGAAATTCTGCACACAGGTATGTGAAGAAATGCCAGCGGATGCGTGAAATTGAGGGTTTGTATGACCTCAGCTTAAACTATTCACAACAATTCTCACTCTCACACATAGCTTAGTTGCTATCAATAAGCAAAAAGCCACTGCCCAAGGGACTCGGACTTCTGGCACTTAGAACTTCAAGAGAAAACAAACAACATACCAACATAGAACAATTTGAGTGCTTCAGCCACTTATATTTTTGATAATAGTTCAGATAATTCTTTATTACAACTGTCATTTTCCTTATTATGACTACAATAAAGTGACCTCACTCTAGAAAAACAGTTAACTTGCTGAGGGTATTCTAATTGCTTCGCCTTCCTCAAATCTCAACAGAAATGATCATGTCACCTAACCTGTAAGCAGAGATATCTGGGCATTCCACTCCATTCTCTTGAGAAGTCTCAGTTACTCTGGTGGGACTCTGTGAAGACAAAGAGGTCTCTCTGCACTGCCTCCTAAGATCAGGACCTATAATCTTACTAAGTTGAGTCCTTTTATTGTAACAGCCAAACAAAGCAAAGTATTCCTTTTATACAAGTATAGCACAAAAGAAGAAAAAAAATAACCCCAACAAATGAAAGAGCAGGCAAAAGCATGCTGGGTCTAGCAAGTTATATGACAGTTCAGCATGGCAGCAAGATGAAGCAGAAGCTCAACATCAGTAACACAAACCCCAGAAGCGGGATAACAAAAAGAAAAATGCTAGGGATGAACAGCACAGGATATTGGTTCACTCTGCAAGTCTACAGATACTGCAGTCAGTGTCTTTGACTACATGTGTGGGAACCAAAGCTTCAACAAAATAAAACAAGTCTGGGAGAAGAATCAATATTAACTGAGGAAAAGAATGACAAAACACTTTAAGGGAAATGACAAGTTGAAAGAGGAAAAACATCTTAAAAAAGTGTTGTGAGAAGCAGAACAAAAGGCAAGTATTTTTCCCCTAGGGTCTACAGAGAGAGTAGCAGACTTACAAATACACAGTGTTTCCTTCTCTACATATACAGTTTTCCTTACAAACATTAATAAGTTGGAAGAACAATTCGTCACCTGGAAACAATGCTGCTTTAAGAAACAACAATAATGAAACCAGTATCAGTGTGAACTGGAAGTATATATATATATATACAGAGCAGGTGTAACACAGCCTGCTTCGAGAAGCTTGAAAGCAAAAGAGAAGAAAATGCCCATAAAACTTCATTAGCTCACAGGAAGTGGGTATCCACAGTATGAACGTACATTCTTTGGGCATGGCCCAGCCAACTCTCAAAAAACATCGGTCATCATGCAGGAACCAGAGCAGTGCAGTGAAGACTTGTACCAACATATATGATATTTAATTACAATCACAGGCTTAGAGAAATTGGCAAGAGGCAAAGAAGAGGAAGGTAAATATCCTGAGATTTCATTATATTTCTTTGGTGAAACATTTGTTCTCCCCACTCAGACTTTCATTTTAGAAGCAACATATCAGAGATAGTGACTCAGTCTGGTTTATACAAGGAACATTCAGATTATCGAGGAGGCTTTTAAAACATCAAACTGTAACAGATGTACAAAAGCTGCCAAATGACACAAGCACGTATAAATCAGAGGACTTATGCTGAGGGCTGGCTACTGCAAAGCAAACACCTGCCCCAGGCATATGTGTCACTTGAACTCAGAAATCACACTTTCTCACTGGCATAGGGCAGGTCTCAAAACTGGTCTTGATGGTTTCGAGACATGTGGACAAAAATATGTCCTTGAACACATACATATGCCAGAAAACAGCAAATGTGTTTTGAGCACAAAGGCAAATTCAGTCTTTCTACCACTATTTCTCTTTGATTCACTCTTCAACTCCCACGCTATATGACATCAGTTCCAGCCTTCTCAGTATTGCAAGCATAATTTCGTTCATAAGCTCCTCATGCTACACACTAGAATGAGATAAAACTATTTTTTTACTGTTATTCTGACTAGAAAGATGCTCCAAAAACTCACTGCCCCAGCTGTTAAAAGTCTCCTAAGTTTCCATCCTCTTAGCAATAGAAGTCTTTGTCTTAATAGCTCTTTCACCCTGTTCCTGATATATTTGCAGACCACAAGTCTTCATTCTCCCAAATTATCTCTGCAGTTCATGCCTGAAGCTAGCTGGACTTCTTCTGAACACAGGGATCTGACACTGAATCTGGTGATTTTAGAAAGTGTTTTATACACTCCCATAGCTGAACTGGATATACTAGGGTTGACACACACTAGGATAACTTTAAGATTTTTCATAGAGAAGGTGACTGCAAACCACAATGGAGTTATGCCCTAGTGGGACACACATAAGCCTGCAAGCTCAAGCAGAAATTTTTGGTTTATTGTGTTTCCTTACATTTCAGCATGGATGGCTGATCATCAAGAATGGTTTTGTCATCAGAAAGTGCCATCATTATGCTCCTGTTTTTCAGGTCAAGATCACTCATGAAAATATTAAGCCAATCAGTGCTGTGACAAAGGACATCCCTGAGGAGTTTCACAACCAACATTATTCCGTTTGCTATCTCTAAGACAATGATATAGAGCAGTCCTGAATGGAGAACAGAATCAAACTGAAGCAAAGTTCACTAATCCTGGACAATGTTTTTGCAAAACAAGGGGAATTGGCACACATAGGACAGGACACTGCCAACTAAGTTTTTCTTTCTCCTTTGAAACTATATTCACATAGGAGGGGGTATTCAGGGAGAGGTACCATAAAACAGCAAAATATATGCCATGCTCTGAGGTAGTAATCAAGTCCAACAAGGCATTAAACTACTACTACAGGAAAGTTGATACAAGAGCTCAGAGAAATCCCCTGTAACACTGACGAATTAGTCTAGAAATACTTCTGGAAAGGGACCAAAGATTTGTTATCTGAAATTCTATACAAGGCAAGACTGGAAGTGTAGCTGGAAGGCGGAGAACACTCCAGCCAACGTCTTTCCTCAAAATGCAAACACAGCAACTGATAGGAACGTGCGGAGAGAAGCATTTGCTGTGAGCCAGAGCAAGGAGTGATAGAGAGTATAGGCGAGCACGATGTTCTGCTCAGTTAAAACTGCTTTCAAAAGACAAGCTCATAAGGATTACACCAGCTCTAAGCTTAGAATCTTACATTATAGTATAGAAACCTGCTCCTAGAGGGTGAAAAAACCCTCCAGACTGTTTTGAACGTCTCACAGCTTTGAATATAATCATACCAATTGCTTAATGGCTTTTCTGCATAATTACTGAAAAAGCCTATGAGAGTCTGTTCTCGCAGCAAAGTTCTTATCTGTAACAAGAGCTTAATAGGAACAGGAATGGTTACAAATGAAAATACTTTTAAAGAAGTTCATTTAGTTTCTAATAAAGCATTTATGCAAGAAGCTAGAACTGACTAAAAGCCTTACAAATATCGTAATTTGGCAACATTATTTATCCATTACCAGTTACAAGTGCAGTCCACAATTTTATACATGGAAAAATGTAATAAATCCAGCAGTTCCTTTTGCACTGGTAACTACAAAAATATAGCTTCAAGATGGAACTTAAATTCAGGTTTTACTGAGGAGCGTTTTATTTTCATAAAGTTACTAGACATATTTTTTATGTCTAGTAGAAGAAACATAAGAATTATAACTTTCAAGTATGATTAATATATCTAAAAGTGACCAACTCACTTGGAATTATTATGGTGAATGTTGCAAGCCCGAGCCATTAGCACCACAATCATCGGTCGAAAAGCCTTTCCTTTCCCATCAAAGTAATAATCACACATTTCCTTAAGTTCTGCTGCAGAAACAAGTAATTCCTACATAAAGGACAAGAACGTTTCAGCATAGAAGTCACAAAGTCAATCTGTTTAGCGTAAGTAAAACAATATGCATGTAAAAGGTTATTGCCTGCGTTCATTCCACCCAGTGTAAGCTGAAGTTGTTTTTAAAATTACTATGAGCAATCTGAAACATAAATGTATTTCATCACTGCAAATCAGGAGAAAAAAAACTGCATTCTGGTTCTATAAAATATCAGAAATGCTCCTTTTGCCTTCAGTTTAAGCTTCAGACATTTGTTCATAAACATAAATAATATTCTTTCAATAAGTGTCATCCAAGTTGATGGCTGGTATTAAAAACAATCATTGCAACATCCCAGAATAGTCACCAAAATCCCTTACCTTTTTAATATCTTCATAGAGATTCTTCAAGTCTTTTCTACCAAGTTGAAAAGGGTCTTGGTATTTTTCATCACTAACTGTCTTACTGCAGCTGCACAAGTGGGATGTACTTGTATGATGAAACCTGGTGATAGTGTTTTTTAAGACAATAGTGTTGTTAAAAGCAAACTTTCCCTGATTCCTCAAACAGAAACATTTGAAAGCATTTCCTCCTCCTCCTCTTTCCTCACACAAGATGTAACCAAAGGGCTAAAATAGATGACGGCATCAATACATTCTTTTCAGCCAGATAGTAAGGTGTAAGCACAGCACAGCTACATATTGGTGATCATAAATTTTTAGGAGCTGGCAAAGCGCCTTTGGCAAACAGGAACACCCTCCCCCTCAGCCTTAACAGATTACAGAAGTCTTCTGAGACACATAAAACTACATTTCTCTCAATGTACTCCTTTTGAAGACACTACAGATAGTATAGCCTATGGTTGGAGATAAAGCCTTCATCTTCCTGTAATATAAGTATTCTGTTAATTTCTTCCCTTTCTTGTAAACTCCTGGAAAAATATTCCTGAACTGGATTTGAAATTTTCTCATTTGCACACCCAGCTACATTATAAATTAAATCAATACTTCCATGTAGCATGATGATGCTATGAATGTTCATCAGGAAAGGGGGGAAGCTCTACCTGTATGCATCAAGCGTACGCCTGATTTACTTTTTTTCTTTCCTGGAGTTGAAGTTTATGTTTCTTATTATATTTCCTTTTCCAAAGTGAACCATGTATATTCTCTTGCAGCATACCTGCTTTGCCTGCTACTCTCAAGGACAGAGGACTTGGATTCAGACTCAGCACCACAGCAACAGTCTACACAGAATTATCCAACTACATATTAGAGTGAGCAAAGTTTATAGCTCACAGGTATAACTATTCAGTTCACCCAACAACTGTGTCTTTACCCATTACATAACAATATGACTCTCCAACTTACCGCCAAAATACATTACATATTTTTGGAAACGACAAAGCTGAACTTCTTTGGGTAAAGTGACACATCTGTACAAAATAAAACCAGGGTTAATTTATTAGAGCTTTAAACTGACAGAAAACATTCACTATAAAAAACATGTACCTGTTCATCAGCACTACTCTATTTCTCCATTTTAACAACCCTGCATCAAAGGGAGTCTCATAATCTCCTTCCATATCACATGAGACATAAGTGATAACGAGAGAATATGCCAACAGACACATTAAACTGACTCTTCCGCTCAGGAGTGTTGGACTTTCTCCCCTTGCAGGACCAGCCCAGGAGCCTTATCAGTTAAATTACCAAAACTGCTCTAACGAAACCTTGCTTTTGTACTTGTGCGAGGTGTAATTTTCCAGTGTTCCCTGTCTTGCAGATAAATCTGGACTGCACTAGTCAAGGCACAGAGAAAAGGGCAAGAGCTATTTCAGTAAACCAGTACACTAACAGAAGAACATGTCCTTGTTTTTCCCTGAAGCAATTTCAATTCAGCTTGTTGCTTATGATAATCTACACCTGCCTATCTCCCTGCTAGACGTCCAGAATCTAACTTCCAAACCTAGCAATGTCTCCAATGATCTCTGCCTGCAGACATAGCCCAGGAGCCTGAGGGAAGGCACAGTCCCAAGTACATGATGTCCAGTTGAGAAAGGGAGTACAGCTTTTGCTCTGCTCCTGGCAGTCGGGCCAGGACGACCCAGCCCTGTCCTCAAACGCAGGCTGACTCAGGGGCCATGCTGGGCTGAGCCAGCCTGAAATCACTGCAATCCACGTGTTCACCAAACTGTCTCCGGAAAAGCCTGCAAAAGAATACTCAAGAAGACCTAGGACTAGAGAACCTGCTTCTCAGGCCTCAATGTCTCCTTGTTTGTAGATTTAAGTCTCTCCGTGGACAAAGGGAGCGAAACAAAAGCACTGTAATGGCTCAAGGACACCCTTTCATCCTCCTTGCGTATGAAAAAAGACCATGCAAGGACACAAGGGAAGTACAGAAACCCTAACACTCTGCAGCTCACTGCTGTGACTTCAGTGTCCAGCCCTACGCCTGAGACCTTTGTAAATTGCTCTCGTACATCTCACCGTGTTCTGTTGTTAAAAAATAGCTGATCTCTTGCTAACCTTCCTTCGACGAGGGCACACACGGACTCCCTCCTTTACACCGCTGCTTAACACTGTATGGCTGGCTCATGCAAGATGCTGGACACATCAGCCAGAGCCCTTTACCGCGGGTCAGAACAGCCGTCTGGCCTTGTGAAGCAGCTGTAAACGAACGCAGCGAGAGAAATGCTCCCACTACGACTCACGCACAAACGCGTCCAAAATCTCACACTAATGAGAACCGCTTTCCTGCTCCCACCTAGAGAAGGCTCTGCGAGGTTCACCACACTAACCAACGCTGCCCCGAAAAACCTTAACCCAGTGTTTAACCTTGCACCGAGCGCGCTCCTGCCCCTAGCAAGGACCCCCTGGCAGGGAATCGCCTCCGGGCCTTCGCCCTTCCCGGTCGGGAGGCTGCGGAACGGCGAAGGCGCGGCGGCCGCGGGGTGACCGCCCGGCCCCGCGCCCCGCCCGGGCCCCCTGCCCCATTCATTCCGTGACCTCCCGGCGCCCGCCGCACTCACCGCGCTGGGGGCCGGCGGGGCGCGGGGGCCGGGGCGCGGCACGGAGCCGAGCGGCGGCGCCCGGCGGGACGAGGCGCCGCACCGCCGCCACCACCAGCACCACCGCAAGGCCATGGTGTCCCCCAGCCCCGCCGCGCCGGCACCGCCTCTCGGCACCGCCGCGACCCGGACGCGGAAGCCCCGCGCCGCTACCGCCCTGCGGCGGGGTGCCGGCAGAACACGTGGGCGGGCGGGCAGGGCTGCGGGCACCGCCACCGCCCTCCGGCCGGGCGCCGACGGGGACGCCCGGGCAGCGGGCACCGCGCACCGCTTGCGCCTCTCGCCGCCTTCTCTTTGAAGGAGGGAGACCTCAGGCCCAGTGTCTTTGGGGACTCGCTGAAGGTTTGGGGACATGTGGTGGCCCCCCTGGCTGGCCGCCTGTCTGGCGTGGGGCTGTGTGGCCGCGCTGTGCGGCTCCCGCGGGCTCTGCCTGGCCCCGAACGCCTCCCGCCCCGAGCCGGGGCAGTGCCCGCGGCGCCGGGGGGCGGCGGATCTCTGCGCCTGGGCCTTGTCCTCCGACAGCCTCCTAGGTACGGCCTGCCCTGCCCCGGCTGTGTACGCCTGCCCTGCCCCGAGGCTCTTGCTTGGTGGGTTGTGGCAGCTACTCAAGCAGAAACTAAGTGAAGACCTGATATACACAAATACTACTTCTAAAATTAAAACCAGACTGGCTGTAAGGAGCTTTTTTGGTTGTTTGATTGGTGTTTTCTGAGTCCCAGTTAATGCAAAATTGATAACCTGACACCTGACTGGCAGTACACAAAACGTTGTAGCTCTCAGGCACACAGAATTGCCTGTAATCATTATGGTAATTTATATGATAACATTACAGAACTAATTTCATCAGGTGACACAATTCCTTGTGAGCATTAAGAAATAATAGTCAGTGATAAATCTTGTGTCAGCTGGCTATGACAGGATTTGTCAGTAGAGGTATTGACAAACATGGTTAACAGTAAGGGTCCAGAGATGCTAACTCAAAATTTTTACAGAACAGTGTCTATAAAGTATTAGGATTGTATAATTAATGTGGAATTGTAAGATTGTTGCAAGCAAAAATCCATAAAGATGGTAAACCACACAGTATTAGTAAAGTGTTTGAAAACAATATTTGTCCTCTTTTACCATGGATTGGGGCACAGAATAAGTCCGAAGGAAGAATGAGGCACATCTTCTGAGTACATATGTTATGCTACAGCGAGAACTACATCTGAGCCTTTCATTCACTGTTTACATTGCTCAGAAAAGACTTCATAGGGTTTCTTAGGTTACATGGTGATCATTGCTGCATATGGACTATATACAGCAGTTAATGGTGCACAGTGACTTAAGTCTGTTGCACTGCATTGTGCAGCACGGAACTACATTCAGCTGTGGGAATAGCTGAACTCTGTCTCATATAAATATCTTTTAGGGTTGTATATAATGTAGTGCAATATGAAACTGCTTAGATATGGTTTAGATCTTAAACATAGCATGCCCTGCTAGATTCTTTTAACTGCAGAATTCAGTCTTTCTTTTCAAAAATTCCAAACGGAATAAAAACCTAAATTTATTTGGGCTTGCTTTTCATGCAGGCTTAATATAGATTGTGGTAAATACTTGAGTTTTAGTTGTTTCTGAATTATTTTTATTTGGTTTAAGATGAAAGGCATTAGAAAGATATGATTAATTTTTAAAAGACATTTTTTCTCTCTTTCATGTTTACAGATCCTTTTCCAGTTGATGTGATCCAGGAAAATTATGTCCGTAATGTGAGAAACTGCATTTTTTCAATTGTTTATCCTACACCTTTTAAATCTAGAGTTCGTCTTGTAGCTGTTTCAAAGGTTGGTTGTTGTTTTATATTCCTCTCTAATTAGTAGAGATTGTTAATATGTGTACTAAAGTATATTTTAAAGTATATTTTAATATTCATATGCTATTTATTGTAAAAGCATCTCATCACTATATACTTTAAACATACTTAAAACATACTTAAGCATATATAAAACATATTGTGAACTGTCTTTTAGTAACAAAATCTGTAGAGAAAACATGTTCATTACCACTGACAATTCGATCATTTTCAAGTACTAACTGTATTCTTTTTTTCTCCAGGAAGTTATTGAAAATATTTTGGATCTTGATATATCCATCAAAGGAACATCTGATTTTCTTGAGTTCGTCAGTGGTAGGAAAGTGATACTTGGGTCTGTTCCATTGGCCCATAGATATGGGGGTCACCAGGTAACTGTGGCACTCATTTCTTCCAAGTTGAATTATGTAGCATTTTCATGTGAATTATACCTTGATAATACCTGTAAGTACATGAACACTTATTAACATTTTGATTGCAGATTTGATTTTCATAAGGGGCTGCAGGTGGAAGAAAACTGTAATATTCTTTCTCAGTACCATGTTTACTTCCTCTGCTTCTGTTTATTCCTGAAGAAAATTGTTTTTTTGACTTCCATTAGCTGCTGACTCTGCTTAGGACCTCTGCAGCTTAGCCAGCTCTGATTTGTGACAGGTATTATCAGCTCAGAGCAGTGAAGAAGGGCAGAGCCTCACTGCAATACCATGATTAATAAGAGTTAAGCTTTATTGCAATTGGTGTGATTATTAATGCAGAAGAATGGTAGAATTTGGTTTGTAATTTCCAATTAAAAATACCAAAACAAGCTATGCGAGTTTAAAGGCTCATTATACAAGCGAGGCAGGTCTGTACCTGTACATCATAGCTGGAAGGTGAAAAAAAGTGAGGATTACTGCCATTATTCTTTTTCTGTGGTTTTCTGATTAATTATTGGTGTGAGTATGGAAATAACAGCTTTAGGGATCAACCTCATAATGACTGTGTGAGAAAATGTGTCATTATATTGTGTAGAACACAGAGAACCTACATGTAATTTGTATTGTTTCAAGTATAACTGTTATAAATGGTAGAAGAAAATAACTTGATTTTCATTTTTGTCAGTTTGGTACCTGGGCAGGTCAGCTGGGGGATGGAAGAGCCCACTTGGTTGGAGTATATACAAACAGGTGTGACTTTTTTTTAAATGACTGATTCAACTCTGTGTTCAATTTAGTTGATTGATGGATAGCTCAAGGTGTACTGTTAAAAATGCTAATGGTATTTTTGCAGGCATGGTGAGAGGTGGGAACTGCAGTTGAAAGGGTCAGGAAAGACCCCATACTCCAGGTAAGTTGCAGTTGTTCTGTGTACACCAAAATTGAATGTTTTCTTTTTGAAATTTGCTTTGATTTTATGACCTATTCCTTATTTCTCTGTTCTTTGTAGGAATGGGGATGGAAGAGCTGTGCTTCGCTCTTCTGTTAGAGAGTTTTTATGTAGTGAGGCCATGCACTATCTTGGAATTCCTACAAGCAGAGCTGCTA